GATATCTCTTATAATTTCTAAACTATCACTGCACACCCTTTTTTGTAAATATGATATAATAAAATACAATACAATTCAAATACCAAAAGATAAACAAACTGAGTTTTATTTTTAACAATTGAGACTGTTTTAAAATAAAATTTTAAAATTAATCTGATAGCTAATATTAATACCTCAAATTTAATAGAAAAAATAAGTTCATAAAAGTCTATTTAGAATAACTTTTTAAAAGTACTTATAGAATTTATAATTTTACATAAATATTTTTTACAAAAAAATGGCATTTAAAACTGTTCCACCACCACCACTACACCACTACCCCCACCGCCCCAACACCATCAACACCACTGCCACCATCGCCCCACCACCACCACCACCACCACCACCATCACCGCCACCACCCAACCACCATTTCTGCTATAACAACCACCATCATTGCAGCCGCCACCCCACCACCACCATCATCCCCACTACAACCACCCCCACCATCACCGCCACCACCGTTATCGCCACCTTACCACCACCGTCACTGTCTCACCATCACCTCTACCACCATCACCCCCTACCACCCCACCACCACTATCACTGTTGTCATCCACAACTGTCACCATCAGTAATGGTTGTTGTCACCCACCACAACTATCATTGTCTCTCATCACTCGTCTCCACTGCAATCGGTATTTAAATATGATATAATAAAATACAATACAATTCAAATACCAAAAGATAAACAAACTGATTTTTATTTTTAACAGTTGAGATCGTTTTAAAATAAAATTTTAAAATTAATCTGACAGCTAATATTAATACCTCAAATTTAATAGGAAAAATAAGGTGCTAAGGGTCTATTTGAAATAACTTTTTTGAAAATACTTATAGAATTTATAATTTCTCCCAAGTATTTTTTACAAAAAAATGGCATTCAAAATTGTTATACCACCACCACCCCCACCGCCCCAACACCATCAACACTACTACCACCATTGCCCCACCACTACCACCTAACCACCATTTTTGCTATAACAACCACCATCATTGCAATCGCCACCACCACTGTCGCCACCCCACCACCACCATCACTCATTGCCCCACCACCACCACCGCTACCACCATCATCCCCACTACAACCACCCCCACCATCACCGCCACCACCATTACTGTCACCTTACCACCAACGCCACTATCTCATCACTACCTCTACCACCATCATTCTCACTACCCCACCCCCACCACTTTAACCATCACCACTCATCATATTATTTTTATATTGATTATTACTGTTACCATCACCGTTACTATCACCACCACTATCGCCACCTTACCACCACCGTCACTGTCTCACCATCACCTCTACTACCATCACCCCCTACCACCCCACCACCCCACCACCACTATCACTGTTGTCATCCACAACTGTCACCATCAGTAATGGTTGTTGTCACCCACCACAATTATCACCGTCTTTCATCACTCGCTCCACTGCAATCGGTATTTAAATTCCTTTATCTTTGTAATTTAATTTTTGGTGTATATACAAATTTGTTTTTTGATCATTTTATTTATTACTTCGTGCCTTCAGGCACAAAAAATAACTAGTCTATATAACAAAGTACAATACAATTCAAATTTCAAAAAATAAACAAAATAACTTTTATTTTTCGCGGTTGAGATCCCTTTAAATTTTACTTTGAAGTTAATCTGACAACTAATATTAACACATCAAATTTAATAGAAAAAATAGGTCTCTAAAGGTGTGTTTGGGATAACATTTTAAAAGTGGTTATATAACTTATAACTTCTCATAAGTATTTTTTTTTTACAAAAATAGTGTCTAGAACTACCTCATCACCACAACTACCCCCCCCCCCCCCCCCCACCCCACCACCACCCCACCACTACCACTATCACTACCACTACCATTACCACTATTACCACCACACTGCCACCACCATACCACCACCATTATTGCCACACCACCACAATTACCAGACCTATTGCCCACCACCATTATCATCATTACCACCACCCCCTCACCCAACCACCACAATCCTACCACCATCACCGCCCCCACCACCACCTATTCCATAACAATCATCATCACTGCCCCATCATCACCACTGTCGGCGCCATCACCATTGTCGTCACCACCACCACTGTAGCTACCCCACCACTAGCCCCACTACCACTGCCCCTACCACTACCACCGCTGTCGCCACTGTTTCACCATCACCCCTACCACCCCCACCCTCATCGTCCTACCACAACGGCCATCATCATTGCCATTCACAATTGCCACTATCACAATCAGTCATTGTTATTCACCACAACCATCACCATCTCCCACCACCACTACTGCCGCCCACCACCACTATCACCGCTCGCCCCCACAACGACTGGTGCTTAAATTCTTTTCTCTTTCCTCTATCTTTATAATTTGATTTTGAATGTAAATACAAATATGTTTATTATTCGTCATTTTTTTTTATTATTTCGTGCATTCAGGCACGAGAAATAACTAATATATATATTTATATTTCACATACTTTCCCAGCTGTTAAAAGTGTTATTGACAATATAACATGTCTTTGATGTTATCAAAAATTTCACATCTGATACCAATTTTGCCCCCTTAATAAAAAATCAAAACAAAAAATTAAAGAAAAAGAAAATCCTTCTTTTATATCACCCTCCTCCTCTCTGTCCCACTTTCTTACAAGTAGGCTACCCAAAAATCATCATAAACCCACAGCACATGGGCAGTATTTTAAGCTAAAAGACATAACTATGAAATGCTTTTGCATTGAAGCAAACTGCATTAGAATCATTATTACAATTCTTAATGCAGACTACAATGACTACAGTGCATCTGATATAGGACATTGTGTGGGAGCAAAGTGAATGGGAAGTAAGTTTTATTATTTTTCATTGACCAAAGACCCGCTAGTGATGTAATCAAAATTGCTGATGTAGACTTGGAGGTTTAGGAAATTGCTAAATCAAACCTTGGTCTTGGGGATAACATATGTCAGCTTCATAGGTGAGACTATTGTGTTCCTTTTTTTCCATTCAACAAATATTTTTGTTGAAGAAGATGAACCGACATAGCGCTCTCTCTCCCTCCCTCGGATATAAAATAGCAACAAAATCAAAACACGCGGCACCAAAAAATCATCAAAAATCCATAGCACCCGAAAATCATCAAACCCCCATAATACTCGAAAATAGATTCTATTTCCAATTCCAAAACAAACTCAAACTCAATTTGTTTTTTGATTTGCATCTTGATTTCATAGTAGAAATTGCAATTGAAACACGAACCCACTAATAGCAAAGAAGGGCGATAGTAGTAGGCAGTGATTTTGCCCCTATTAGAAGCATCTTGGTCTCTATTTTCATCTCTTTCACACATTGAAACCTCCCCGTACTGCTGCACCACCACCACCGACTATCACTCGCACATTACTTGCCCCACCAATCATACACTACAAAACTCTTCTTCTTCCTCCCTATTTGAAACTCTTTTCACACCTAGATCATAACCTCTCACAAGCAATGTTATTAGAACCGGATTAGACTGGCGCTTCAAACAGGTGAACCGGAGTCTAGACCGGTCCAATTCTTGAGTTAGACCGCATATGCAAGCAAATCAGTTGTGAACCACTAAACTGGCCAATTTTTGATAACATTGGTGAACTGAACTGTTTGTTCAAACTAGATGATTGAGATTTCAAGTGATATAAAAAAAATTCTTTTTTTTTGGCCTTTTTAGCCCTAAATCAAAAATTTACTTCTTCGTCTCTGTCTCCATTGAACTATAGTCGAGTGGTCTTTGTCTTCCTTTGGTGGAGAATACGAACATGCAACTCAACCCAATGGCCCAAATCGACTTCAATCGAACGTAGCATAGAGGCAGAACGAGTTCTTCAGTCTGTCCTCTTCAATTCTTCTCCTTCTCCATACACAGTGCCTCTCCCTATAGACACACACACACACACACACACACACACACACCTACTAGTGCTTGAATCTAAAGACACTATATTTTTGGATAAATTACACGGACACTCCCTGACTTTTGACAAATGACACTCGGACCCCAACGACGTTAGAAATGAAAATTGCTAACAGAAAATGCAAAATGACAATCTTACCCTACTTTTGTTATCACAAAAAAAAAAAAAAAAATTTGATAATTCAATTCAAAATCAAAATGACTATAATAGCCTTGTAAAATATGTTCGTACTGAACCAAAACACCATTCGTCACATCTAGAGAGAAGGCAAGAGAGAACCCAAATCAGGCAAGAGAATTAATTCAACCCCAAATCGTCTTTGATAGATTCATGCGTTGATTTAACCCAAATTGTGCATACTCCACTCCAAAATCAGAGAAATCCAACCTAAACCACTATCACCATGCTTGAATCAGAGAAATCCAAACCCTGAACCACTATCACCATGCTTGAATCAAAGAAATCCAAACCCTGAACCACTGTCACCATGCTTGAATCAGAGAAACCCTAACCCTAATCCCCCATCATTTTTACTTGTTTCAAAAACACAAATCTGTAAGGCATTGTTGTCCTAACCTAGAAAGGGCGAAGTCTGGATTTGGCTCTTCATCTTCTACGAAGCATCTCGTTTAAGGCATCTTGGTTCTTCATCTTCTACTAAGCACCTCGTTTAAGGCATCTTCTTTTGACTCTTCAATCCATCATAGGTTTGACACTTGTCATTTTTTGGCACATCTCTTTTTCATTTTTCATTATGTTGGCACATCTATTTTTCATGTTTTAGTTACCCAATAAGAGACATTGTTGTTCATCGTAAAAGATATTGTTGTCCACCAATCCTTCCTTATCTATTTTCATTTTTTGGCCATTTAAAGGTTCTGCAGAAATGGATGAGCTCATTTAAAGGAGCATGACATTGTTGTTCATTTTAACAACTCTATTTTCACCATTAATAAGGTCGACCTTGATAGGAATTGCTGTATGGATATGGTAATAGATGTTGCAGAAGTTACCATGAGTGATAGTTTATCGAAGGTAATGATTGATATTACAGTTAATAGGCCAGATGGTAGTGGAAAACTTGTACTTGATGGCGATGAACAGTTACAGGAAATGTTTTTTTTGTATAGAAATTGTAAGGAGATACTTGTATTTGTGAATGTTGAAGTTGGGTCTCAGGTGAGACTGTCACCTCCTCCAGATGTAGGAATAGGCGAAGAGCCTAATGTTGATGACAATGAACCTAATGTTCAAAATGATGACACGGATGCAAATAGGCATGAAGTTAAGCATGACATTGTGGATGAACATACGGGTGGTAGTGGTGAAAATGATGACAGGGGTGCAAATAGGCATGAAGTTGATGATGCGAATGATGACAATGTTTATGGTTTCAGTTCTGAAGTTGATGATTGAATAGTTGATGGTGATGATGCCCCCAATGTTAGTTATGAGTACAATGATGATACCATCAACACACAATTAGATGAAAACTGTGACGATGAGTTTTCTGATTATCAATCAGGGGATGAAGGATATGTTAGTAATACAAATTCTGAGGAACTTGAGGTTGACGTGGATGAAACACATACAAGGGGTAGGAAAAGGAAGTGCAATGTCAGTGATACTTCAAGATTTGGAGTGGAGTTTAGTGTTCCTGAAGATGGAAACACTGATTGAGACTTTTGTGTGGAGATGTTGTTTGAAAATGTTGACTTGTTTAGAAATGCATTGAAGGATTATAAAATAAAGATAGAGATAAAAGTAATAAGGAAGAAAAATGAGAGGATTAGAGTTACCATTGAGCGCACTACTGAGGGCTTCTAGTGGAGGAGTCATGCATCTCCTTTACTAGATCAACCTACTTTTAAAGTAAGGACTTACAATAAAGATCACAACTGTGTCAAGTATAGGAAGGTGTCTGAAGAAAACTCTACTTGGATTGCTAAAAAGTTTAGAAGGGAGATAAAAAACAACCCAACGATGACCTTAAAAACTTTACAATCTGAGTTGCAGGATAAGTGGGAGATTGAGGCCAACCCTAGTCAGTTATATACGGCTATAGAAAAATAGGATCATCATGAAAAATCTTTTGGATTACTACTAGTATGTTAGGGAAGTAAGGAGGAGTAACTTTGGGAGTGTCATTAAACTTGATTATTTCAAGAAATCTGCAAGTGATAACCCATTGTTCAAGAGAATTTTCATTTCTTTTGCTGCACTGAAAAATGGTTTTAGGGCAGATTACAGACCTTTTATTGGGGTTGATGGTTGTCACCTAAAAGGTGAATTTGGTGGAGTTCTAGTGGTTGCAGTGGCTCTTGATGGGAATAAAGGTTTGTTTCCAGTGGCATATGGAGTGATTGAAAGTGAAAGGACAGAAAATTGGGGATGGTTTCTTCAAAATCTACATGATGTCATTGCAGCAGCGGATAGGACCAAGTCTTGGACCTTTATCTTAGACAACCAAAAGTTATGCTTCTAACTTGTAATTTCCTAGCCATTTAGTTTCATTTTAATGTCTTTTCTGATTTGTCATTATTGTTTCTTTTTTCTTGTTTCTTGTTTCTTGTTTTGGTCGTTATTGACACTCTAGGGATTAGATAAAGTGTTTCCTAGAAGTAAACATAGAAGATGTTGTAAGCATCTCTATAACAACTTTAATCCTAAATTCCCAGGATTACTACTTAGGATTTATTTCTGGAAGGTAGCTAGGGCCTATACTAAGATGGAGTTTAGGGAAACCATGGATAAAATGAAAGATTTGAATTGTGATGCATATGATTGGCTAATGAATATTCCTGTACACACATGGGCTAGGCACACATTTGACCATATTATTAAAGAGTAACCACATAACCAATAATTTATGAGTCATTTAACAACTGGATTGGTTTACAAAGATAGAAACCAATTCTAACATTGTTAGAGGGATTAAGGTGCAAGTTAATGGTGAGGCTGCACAAAAGAAAAATGAAGGGGAGTCTTTGGGAAGGTCTTGTTACAAAGAATATTTGACAAGAACTGAACGAGATGGTAAAGAAAAGCATGCAGTGTAATGTGCTTCGGGCTAGAAACTTGGAGTTTGATATTCGTCACCAGGAGATAACATACCCTATTAATTTAACCACTAACAAATGTGCTTGCGTAGAAAGACAAATTACTAGGTCCCTTGTGTTCATGCAGTAGCAACAATAAGTTCTCAAAGGGATAATATTGAGATGTTTTGTGCTGCTTATTTAACAAAGGAAAAATATATGTTGGTTCATGGGGATATCATACATCCAATTACTGACCATAAGATGTGGGCTCTAATTAGAGAAACTCTCTATCCACCACCTCTACGCAAGTTACTTGGAAGGCCTCGAAACAATTGAAGAAGAGCTACAGATGAACCAGCAGCTGGCACAAGTGAAATGAGCAAGGGGTAGACAATTAGGTGTCAAATTTGCAAGCAACTAGGTCACAATAAACAAACTTGCCAAAGAGTACCTGTCAAAGGAAAAGGCGCAGCTCAAGTAATTTTTAATTATGTCCATAATAAATGAAAATTTTGGTCCAACATTTTTTCAGGTTTATGTATTTTTGTATGCAGCAAACTGTACCAACACCACAATCACAACAATGCTCTCAAGCTGGTGAATCTAAAATTTCTATATCACATGAAGGAATTGATAATCCTATTAGGCGAATTGGGGTAGACAATCAGGTCAGTGAAGGGACAAACACTCAAGCCAGTGTAAGGGCAAATGTGAATGGCAGTTGACTTCTTTTGGAATGTGAATTGTGTCTTTTTTTTGTATGACATTTTGGATATTGACTTGTGAATGGTGTACATAGCTAGCATAGGAATGTGAATGGTTCCTTTTTTGTGACATTTTGGATATTGACTTTGGAATGGTGCACATAGCTAGCATAGGAATGTGCATGGTGCACATTGCCTTTTTGACTTATTAGTCCTATTAGTGTTTTTTTTGAGATTCTGATGGCAGTTTTTGATTAGTGTACTATGTACACAAACAACTATTGTATTGATACTATTACAATGTATTGAAGCCACTACATAGTTAGCATAATTCCAAAAGCCAGTACATATTTCATAATCTTGATTTCAGCTCATTACATATTTAGCACAATTCCAAAAGCATACATAAGACATGCACACCACCTACATAATAGGTAAAACACAACCTAACATTACATATGGGACTACATCACTGCAATTTCTAGTTCTTGCTTATAGACATGACCATATCAAATAGTTGCATTACAAGCATTACAAACACAACTAACACTGCAACGATGACGGCCTTCAAAAGTGCATGTGTGTCCTAGGCGTTATGACCCCTTTCTGAGCTAGAAATTCATCGTAGTCCATAACCTTGTTCAGCACATGGAGGCATTATAGTTAACTGGGGATAACACCAAGCAAATAACTTGCACCCCCTTTCTCACAATTGAAATACAATCTCCCTTTTGATGGCTTCTCGGTTTCCACTATCCTTATTGCTACATTCTTCCCACAATTACATTGTGTTCCAAAAAACCTTAAATCCAACATCTCATGTCCTCCAAATCCTTCTCCGTTCCCACCTCCAAATCCTTCTCTGTTCCCACCTCCAAATCTACTACTGGAAGAAGATAACATGTTTTGTGCCTATAGTTACTGGATACAACAAAATACAAGCCATATTATGTCAATGACAGACACACCCTTTGCCTTTTTACATAACAACAGAAACACCCCTTCTGATAACACTTGCTATAACAGTGAGACTCTATTCACATCTAACACAGACAATGCATATATATAATGTTGTTATTTGTGTATATGTATATCCATTTATAACTGTATACAAAAAAAATAGATGGACATAGAGATATAGAGGTAAAGAGATATGGAGGAAGACAAATAAATAAGAGAACCCTTACCTACCAAATGAGAAGGTTTAGGAGAGGAAGATGGGCATTTAAATGAAAAGGGAAGGGTAAAATTGGCATTTCAATAATCACTTTGAAGTACAATGGTTTTGTAGACTTTGACTTTTACCAGATGGGGGCATTATTGGAATTATAATAGATTTTTTGGCTGATGTCATTATATTCCATTAACATGTCTAACGTCTGTCAAGTATAAGGGGCCTAGATATAACGAATTTCAAATGTGAAGGGGTTCGAGTGTCATTTGTCAAAAGTCAGTGGGTGTTTGTGTAATAAACAAAAAAATCAGAGGGTGTCCGTGTATAATAAACAAAAAAGTCAAGGGGTGCCTTTTTTTTTTTTTGGCCTTTTTTGCCATAAATCAAAAATCTACTTTGTCTCTGTCTCCGTTGAACTGTAGTCGAGTGGTCTTCGTCTTCCTTTGGTGGAGAATACAAACATACAACTCAATCCAATGGCCCAAATCGTCTTCAATCGAACGTAGCATAGAGGCAGAACAGGATCTTCAGTCTGTCCTCTTCAATTATTCTCCTTCTCCATACACAGTGCCTCTCCCTATATATATATATATACATATACACTAGTGCTTGAATCTAAAGACACTATATTTTTTTACACAAAAAATGAATGAAGAAAAATTGTCGTACAATCAACACAAAAAATGAAAATATCAGAAAAATTGTCGTATAATCAACACAATCAATTGTCGTTCTCTTTAAATTCAATTGGACAAACATACATACAAATGTTACTGAGGCCACAGATCGTTCTCTTTAAATTCAATTGGACAAACATACTTACAAATGTTACTGAGAACATAAAGGACCCAAACCCCACAACCCATGCAAAAGGGACCAACCATTTCAAAATGAACAAAAATTGTTATGTGAATTTCATCAAAAAACATGCAGGTCAACCCAATTCTATGACCAGAAGTAATTGAATTCGTTCTTGGACTTCAAAATGGAGTTTTTCTGTAAGTATTTTGAACCACAACCAACCAAATTAAACCTTCCACCTCAGTTCATAATTGTTCAAGTACATAGAAAAACAACCAGACCATCCTAACCTTGTTTGATTGCAAAATTAAGTTTCCAAAACATAAAACTTCACTTTATGAATTTGGCTCGGGTTCCCTTTTGCTGATTATACCGAAATCGATTTCACTTTCAATGACCAATGATTCACCAATCGTTTACAATGCCACAAATGCCTGTAGATAAAATGAACCTTAAGCACTTAATTCTGATCTTAAATATTAATAAAGTAAAACAAAATTAGCACATTGTTTTTCCTTTGATAAAAGAAATAGTCTAAATTGGGCCATGGATTTATTTTATCAGCAAGAGTTCAGACTCATAAAAGATAAGCACAAACAAAAACACGCAAAGAATTCAACTTTAAAACAATTACCCTTATAGTGGATGTACCCTATATATTGAATATACACAATCTTCTCGAAATTTCTGGGTAACCAAACAGGTTAGAAAGATTGGTTACCCAGAAAAATAAGAAAAGGGAGAGGTACATATACCGATGACGACAAGCGACTGGAGAAGCAACGGTGTAAGACAACGAAGCAAAGCAATAAAACGTTTGGCTCTTCCAATCGCCAATGGATGTCTAACGGTGTGCCTTCCACAATGTCCTGAGCAGTTGCTGGATGTCGCTGAAGGTGGTTGGGCAGAGGTGTAATCAACAACGAAAATCAGAAATAGAGAAAGCGTTGGAGAGATAGAAACGTGTATGTCGATGTGTGTATGTAATAGAGCAGAAAGAGATAAAGAGATAGAGAGGCTGATGTGTTTGTTTAATAGGGGTAGAAAGAGGTAAATGAGGGTGTAATAGGAATCGAGTGCGTGTTTGTGTGCGTATGCGTGAGTGTTCGAGTGCATGTACGTGTGTGATAGGAGCAGAGAGAGGTGGAGAGGAAGACATACCTGGTGCGAAGAGAGGAGGGATGAGAGAAAGAGCATTGGCTTTATAGAGTATGGAGGTGGAGACAGTCGAAAAGGATAAGTCCATTATTCAGAAATTTGTTTGATGCATTGAGCAATTGAAAGGGGCAGGATATTATGGCAGGAATTGGGTGAAATAATTATTTGGAGAATTAATTTAGGGATGTTAATTTTGGAAACTAAAAATGTTGAGCCGGAAAATTTGTTCAAGAGTTAACGTAGTACGTTGGATTGAAACGATCTGAGACGTTAATACATTGAGATAACTTGGGATAACGTCATCCGTTGGATGATGTCTATTTTAGTTACAAAACGATATGTACCGCTCTTTGTCTCCAAAATTCAAAATCGTTCTACTTTATTATATATTAAAAATTGTCCGTACCCGAAGGTACTATGTACTAAACAAAAAAATCACAAATAATTATTTGTACATTAAGGCAATGTATAACACAAAAAAAAAATGAATAATTACAAAAATGAGAACCCCTCATTAAGCGACAATCAAATTGTGTTGTATCATATTATTTTCGTATTTTTTCAAATTCATGTGAAAAACCCATCATCCGTAACACAACCAATTTAGTTAATTGTATCGAGTGACCTAACACTAACACCACTCACTTATAACACAATTAAACACAACCTATATGTTATATGAAATACATAATTCATGTCTGTTAGGCGCAAGAAATTACTTTTTATCCAATTCACATCCATAAAAAGTAAAATATTGGTCAAAATCATCTTAGTCAATATATGAAAAAGAATTAAGAAAATCATATTTTATAATCTTAAGTCTCTCTCTTAGTACAACAAGTCGAGAAATAAAGAAAATGATAATCTCAAAAAACATAGTATGCCAAATTACTTCACAATTCTAACCAATTAATTCTGCCACCATTGGTCTCTCTTCATTCTCATAACGTCGATCACTTAAATTTGTTAGTTCATATAGCCATCTTGCTTTATCCTAGAGTTGTCAAATGCAGACTGCCAAAGTTCAAGTTTAAGAATAAATAAAAACATGAGGTAGATGCCTACGAAAGTCAAATGGAATTGGATCTCAAAGGCAAAGAAACTACAATGAGTGAAGATCAAAATGCTATTGTCTCCCAAAGTTGAAACAAATTGTCTGGTCCTGAGCTCAACTATTTTTGTTATAATCTCTTGAAAAACCCTTAATCCTAAAAAATGTCAAAACTTAATTTACTTTGAGAAAGAAAAAAATCACATGCGACAAACATGTTATAGGTCACCCCAATCTAAAGAGAATTCTATTCATTATCTATCTGTATCTAGGAACAACTTGTATTTGAAGGTACTATATAACACACAAAAATGAAGCACGGGTCGTATAGTATAAACAATTTATGTGACAATTTATTTTTCTTTCCTTTCTTTAATTACACATTTGAGACCAATTTGGGTCCACTATTTATGTAAAAAAATTTGGAAAATTTTTCTTTGAAAATAGGACCCTTGAAAATTGCACAAACTCTTCTTTCCACTCAATGACCCATTTTCAACAATCTACTCCGACATCTACAAAAAATTCACAAAGCTCACTTTTCACTAAGTTCTACAAATCATTAGTGTTATGATATTTTCTTATCCCAAGTAAAATTCAATTTTTTTCCTTAAATGTAAACTCTTCTAATCTAAGATAAATTTGAAATGTAGACTACATTGGACAAATAGTCATTTACAAAATTTCTTGTCGTTACAAAATCCAAAGCTAATGTGAAAAGTTTTAAAAAGAAAGAGCTTGAGGGAGAAAAAGACATGTTTGTCCATGTTAAAAAAACAACCCTGATCTAATCGATAAGAGCAAGTGAAAAAAACCCATCAAAAAGGGATATAATTTCAACTCATTATACCCACAAAATGGAAAACAGTAAATTCATATCAATCAAAAGAAAAATCAATGGTAGAGTATACAGTAGAAAATCACAATAGCATAAAAATCACAATTTCTAATGAGTAAGCCATATGTTTTTAATTGAATAAATGGAACTAATGGGCTTACCTTTGAGCAAACATGATTCCTTAAGTGCTATAAATCAATTTAGTTTTTTCCCTGCTATGAAATGGATATTAATTATAAGCAAAGCAATGCAAAGAGGTAAAATTATATTATTTCCAAGTGAAGACGACAATACAGCAACATCAGTTTGCAAGATAAAAATACATAGCAACCTTTATGGCTATAAGGACAGCTCTATCCTGTACTCTATGAAATGGAAACTAATAGAACATATAATTCAACCAAGTCATAGACAAGTCTATCTTGCACCATGCTGCCAACTTAGAAGCTATCATAGTTGTTGGATATCTTGCACCATGCTGCCAATTTAGAAGCTATCATAGTTGTTGGATGGTTATAATAGAAGAAAGCAGAGGTAAGCTAAGAGATGACCAAATATAATAAACAAATTTTTAGCAGCAAGAGTAAACTAGCAATACAATTCCATTTTATATTCCAAACCAACAGTATTACATCCATAGACCCTGTGAACTTCTATGAAGGAGACATCACTTTTTCTAATGTTCATTCATCGGCAAAATTTGTGAGCATGAATTTGGGGTATTTGATCGAATAGATTATTGCGTAGATTGAGAGAGAGATAGGAACCGAGAGACAAAATTTAAGCATGATTTTTTGTTATAATTGTGTATGATGTGCGCATATGTGTGTTGTGTATTGTGCATGTTTGTGTGTGTATGATATGTTGTGTGTTTATGTGTTATGTGTGCTCTGTGTTGTGGGGTGAGATGAGTTTGTGCATATAGCTAGGAATAAAGTTAGGCGTATTTTGTCGAACAACTTGTGTGCGTGGTATGTGTATGTCTTGTATGTGTTAAGCAATCAGCGTAGCGAGAGAAACAGAAAGATAGACGGAGAGGGTGAGAAATAGAGAGCTGTGAGGTTCCTGGTTGCTGTGCGCGCATGATGAACAACAAAGATACAACAGTCAAAGAGAGAGAGAGAGCAGCGTCGCCAAATTCGTTGGTATTATCTTTGGCGTGGCTTGGGACAGAAGAGAGTTAAGGGGAGAGATAAGGAGAATATAAAGAATGAGGCACAGTTGGACAGAGAATAGAGATAGGGAGAGAGAAGAGTTTTGTTTTTGGTTAGAGACAAAATATTAGGACAAATTAAGTGGAATGATTTAAGGAATTTGAAAATTAAAATGTTTAGGCGGGCTTAATTTTTTCAGGTGTCAATTTGGTACGTTGGATCAAAAATTTTGAGATAATCTGAGACGTCAATAACTCAAGATAGTTTGGAATAGCATCGTCGATTGGATAAATGAGTGAATATTCAATTCTATTAAAGATAATTGAGTAAAAGTATAATTCTTGTCCATTCCGTTATTGACAAAAACTGATAGAAGTGTTAGTAATGTTTCAAATACGATAGACAGTGTCTCTGTAATTAAGTTATATTTTAGAGGACGTAAATAAAATTTACAATTTTAATTTTTAAAGGATTCAACATTTGTCAATCAAATCACCTCAATGAATTAAGAAAATTATGCTACTATAAAAAAATTAAGAAAATTATGCAAATGTGTTCTTTTAAGTGGCTGACCGTTCTACGTGGAGAAAAGGGCCCACAGTATGTGAACGCATCCTGCTCCTGCTTGATCAAAGCAAAGCCTTTTTTTTTTTTGTTTTTTTGAACCCACAAGTAAATATTGAATACAACGTTGTAATGAATATTTTCTTCATTGACTAGATACTTTCTCTTATTTAACATGAGAGCAACACAAACCTTGAGATACTAACCCAAAAAACAAACACAAACCTTGAACAGTAAAGAAACTTTAAGTTGAAGGGTTGGACTTAGTCTCTCTCTCTCTCTCGCCATCTTTAAAACCATAGCCAAAGCCCACCGCCCATTGATTTGCTTCTCCTTGACAAAAAATTGTAAGACCTCAGTGTCTCAAGTCTTGCCTTTACGCTTTGTTTTGGCATTTTTCTTCCATGGGAAGAGCACCTTGTTGTGACAAAGCCAAAGTTAAGAGAGGGTCATGGTCTCCTGAAGAAGACACCATTCTCAAGAACTATGTTGAGAGATATGGCACTGGTTGCAATTGGATTGCTTTACCACACAAAGCAGGTCTCTCTCTCTCTCTCTCTCTCTCTCTCTTACACACGCGTAAGAGCAGTTTCATGTTCCAGCGATCCTGATTTTTAGGTTAACATACACATTGATTGGTATATAATCTTGTGTTTCAGGGCTAAAGCGTTGTGGCAAGAGTTGCCGCCTGAGATGGCTCAATTATCTGCGACCAGACATCAAACATGGAGGTTTTACTGAAGAAGAAGATAACCTTATACTAACCCTCTACACTCGCATAGGAAGCAGGCTAGTTTAAATGACCTTTTCTTCAACATATTTGATTAACCTTTTTTTTTTTTTTTTCCTTTTTGTATGCTTTAATTATATGAATTATTAATATACAAATGGAAAACAATAGGTCACCCTGACTTATTTTTTTTTGTATCAATTCTAAATCATTTTGATGATTATAACTTACTGTTTTTTTATGTTGTGAGTTGATTCAAATTGCGTCGTAATCTTACAAGGTTGGCTGGCAGCATCATACTTATAATATAGTAACTTTTGGTATAATACCAAACTAGACACTACATATTTACCCTACTTAAACTCATAATTTTATTGGTGTAGGTGGTCTGTCATAGCTTCACATATGCCTGGAAGAACAGACAACGACGTGAAAAACTATTGGAACACCAAGTTGAAAAAGAAGCTGTTGGCAGCAAAGACTAGCCTCAACACCACTACCACCACCACCACCACCGCCACCGCCACCTCTTCTTATGGAAACTGTGCTGGTTCTGATTCGATTTTGAGTTCAATGCCATATACAGCAGACATGAATTATCAACAAAACTTTGTTCCACATTTTCCGGTTCCGAACCCAATTCAATTCCCTCTTCCTAGGCTCATGGAAGGACAAGAAAGTGGCACAGAAGCATATGGTAACTTCAATATTACTGTTTCGCCTTTATTTTCTCTTGAAAAGAGTAGTTATGCGCCATGGTCTGGTGATGGAGGTGGTGCAGAAGGTGGGTTTTTTATGGAGACATCTAGGTCTCATTATGATCTTCCCAATGGCTTTTATTTCCAAGAAAAAATTATTGAAGCAAGTCCAAGATTAGCTCACTGAGTTGTCTTTTATTTTCTAGAAGCCTGTGTGTCAAAAATGGTAGCTAGCTAGCATATATAATCTCTCCGTGACTCGAATTTGTATCACTCGGATTCCAAAAAAACAACTTTACTATTATGAGAGGACTGCGATATTCAATTGGAGGGAAAAATAAGATGTAGAAAAACATGGCATTAGCTTTGACTTTGTATTGTGTTTGATGTTACCGTAGGTTGTGTTGGTGGAAGTGGTCAATGTGCGTGATTTTCAATTTGTATGACTAATGGAGCTATGATGGGTGGATTATGTTTCGGTCAATTTGGATATAAATTTTGTGGTGCAGTCTTCATTTAGTACTATTTCATGGATGTGATAAGATCCGTACCCAGCGCCAGCTCAACGATATTAAAAATAGAGTTTGGATTTTAGGTCCTAAATCTTTAGAGAATCTCACAATTTTAGGGATATTAATAATTTATAAAATAATTTAAATTTATTAAATTTTAAGCCCTAAAAAATTATGATCTAATTCAAAACTTAAAAATCATAAGTTGAAAAAATAAAAAATACTCAAAATGAACTCATATTTATTTTTATTCACGTACTTTCAATAAAAATAAGTAAAAAAAACAAAAAAAAAAAAGAAATTGAAATTAAATTCTCTCTCTCCAATAAAAAAACAAAAAAAATATTAAAATATTTTTTCGATAACATTAACACATCCTTCTTTTGTCATTCTTTGACATAATAAATTATATTCTTTTAAAATGAAAATTATAAATAAAAAAAGCTCATTTCGTATTTTCGATTCAAACCTCAAATTACGTCCAACCATCCCCGTCTGTGGCATGAAAATTTGTCTACTTCTGACTTGTCAGTGATCACGAAAGACCGAAAGCAACATGTTCATCGGGTCGGATAAAAATGAGGCCCGATTGTTGTTGTTTTTTTGTTTAACAGGTATTTGAGTTAATTTACGTACATTTCAATTAATTTTCTCTCCGATTTAGTTAAAGACAGTTTATTCACACTAAAGTTAGAATAAGAATAAGAAATAAATCTTTCATGACCTGACCCTAAAATATTATCAAAATTTAAATTCAAAATATCTAAATTTACAATTCATTCTTATTACCACTTGAGTCTATCTTTTTTAATTGAGGTCCACTTGTTTAGACCAATAAAAACTCGTCTCTGATGATATCCAGAGTTAAGTGAAGATTGAGTTTGGGTATAATTTCAAACCTGAATAAAGTTCGGGTACAAACTCAACCCAAATAAAACCCAATGTATCATTTGATCTGGCTAGAGCTGGCCATCACTCGAAACCCAACATTGGAAGGCGAGTAGTTAGTCAAAATGGCTGAATTCAAAGTCGAAGGAGTCTTTTTGAGTATTTACCACCCCCAGTTCCATTTGATCAGCATACAGCCTAAGTCTTAGAATTTAATATGCATTTAAGCTTGGACTTTGAAGTATTTAATAATGGCAGTACAATATGATATGTGGTGGGTATAAGTTTTTGTTTGCTATTTTTTTAGCATATCATTTGAATTAATAATTGAACTTATGATGACCAAAAAATGCTTAATTTAAGCAAGTGTTGGTGGCTCCACAATGGCCTCATCATGTTAGGTCTTTTCTGACATTCTTTACAAGCTTTCGTGCTTGCTCAAAATTCTAATGAGATTTTCATTATTTAGCTTTCCCAATAACATATTATCAAATCATTACTAAGTTTCCTGTAAATTTAGTTTTTTTTTTTAAATCAGAGTTAACAAAAAGCACTTGAAACTGTTTTGAGTGTTTTTGGAAAAAATTATTTTTTTTCAGAAGCCCTTAAATAAATCCAATTTTTCAGATTTTCCTTCATCCTGATATAAATTATTTTTATCCAAAAAATTGATGAAAAAAATCGTTCAATAAGTATATGCCTGACTTCTTTTTTTTTCAAGATTTTCAGCCCCAAAAAGGCCCAATATGCAATTATCGTCGGAATCAAAAGCTCGAAAGGAAAGATTTCTTGGGTTATTAGTTATTCCTTTGAAGTCTCGAATTTGAATACTCCTTCTTGCTTGGTGAATATGTTTTGATGGGTGATTATGAGCTTCTGCAATTCACATTATACCTGTGTCTAAAAGACGCTTGTTAATTGTTAGCACCCTTTGGCTCAGGAAAAAAAAATATAACATGCCATTTTTATCCCCTCCAAATTCTTTTCGATGGTTTGCTTGAAGTATTTGATCTCTTCAATTGAAAACAAGTACTATTATTATTTTTAGAAGTATTTCATGCAGGAGAGAGGGTCTTAAATGCATTTACTGTTGACCACTGCTTGCTTGTGTTTTTACTTCTGTTACAACTTATAAATTAGGCATCATCGGGCGGGGTGGTCCAGTAAGATATCGATCGAACTTCTCACCTTAGAATTAGAGATTTAAGTCTTGATATTTAAACTGGAACACGGTGGTTAATCAATATACTAGTCTTGCTAGATTCGTTCTTGAGAAGTGCAATGAGTGTAATTAATGGTCTCATCATCTTATTAATGAAGATCTATCGAAATGATCTCTAGACAGCCTCCTTTGTTTTCATTCTTTTTTAAACAGCAAAAAAATCAACCTTATTAATTAGGAAAGATACCCGGTTAGGCCGCCTTTCAAAGTTCAAAGTCTGACTGCTAGTTTTTGCTTCTATTGGCAGCAACCTATAGTGAGGAACACCGAAAAATCAACCACATTAGCAGTTTGTGCTTACTTCTTGGTCTACACTACTTAATGCTTATCCTATTGCTATTAAGGTGGCGGTGAATCGAGAAAAAATGAGTATTTGTCTAAATTCGTTTTATTTGAATCAGAAATAGACTATATGTATTGGACAGTGGACGTATATGGAGACCCGTACGGAGATGAAGGAGGGGATAGACTTACTCTTAACCCCCGCCCCACCCCCTCTCAATCCCCACTACCTGTATATATATATATATATATATTCTCAAGCTCTAACTAAATATATTTATTGTAATTATCAATCTAAAAATATAGTAATTAAACTAACAAGTGACATTGTTATGTGGTAATTTTATCAGCTTTTTTCCATGATTGTTCTTTTTTTTATTTGTGCTCACTGATTGAAACTGTTAAAAATTTGGATTGATCATGCTCTAAAAACAGATAATAGAGAGCAAGATAGTTTTGCATTTCATCGTGAGTAAAAATATTGTGAATAAATGTTAATGAGTTTCTCTATTAGAGTGAACTAAGAAATTGAGAGAATTATTGAATTAACAAAATTTTAAGTTTTCATCTTTTAACATTTTATGACTATAATATGAATTATAATAACAAAATTTTTTCTAGGAAACTTCTTCAATTTTAGTTCAATTTTATTTTCCTTTTCTTCCTTTCTCTCTAATAGTTTCGTTTCTCTTTTTGTTGTTCAATGACACTTTAAACAGAATACTATATTGTTTTGACTTTTACATTTTACAATCTATGTTATGTTGTGTTAGATTATTTAAAATGTTGTTGAGTTATTTAAAATATTAGATTTATTTAAAATTTTACATTATGTTACTTGGATTTGAGCTTGGACTTGAACTTGAGCTTAGGCAGGTACGGGGGAAGCGGGGATGGAGACGGAGATTAGAAATTTACCCACAGACGGGAATAGAGATGAAAACTATACCCGTTAATGGGGATGAACGAAGTTTTTTTAAATGGGTACGGAGATAAAAATTACACTCTCTACCCCCACTTCGGTCCACTGAAATCCCTAATTGCTACATTTTGTCGTCAAAGTCACAGATCATCTATAATTTTCTCTAACAATAACAACCTAAAGCCATGTAACTTTGGATTTTATCATAACTTAGCCAAAAAAATTAATCATTGTTAATAAAGAAAGGATTTGGAATTAGATCATACATGCTCCAAAGGAGTAGACAGGTGCTTTAAAAGATCCGAATATCTTATACTTGAAAAAAAAAAAAAAAAGAATTTTGAGATATTATACTATGCAATCAAAACCTTATTAGTTTACCATAAGACTACGATAATAGGGAGGTACCATGTTGATTTTGATCTGGACCATTAATTTTAATTTGAATAATGTGTAACTATTAATTAAATAAAAATATACTAAAAAAAATAATAAAATAAAATAAAAATTGTACGTGTGACATGTTTTTATTGAATAAAAAATAGAGATATAGTATACAAAAATTCCATTTCATACCAAACAGAAAAAGCATATTTTAAGTCCTCCAGGTCTCTATTATATGAGTAGCAGTCAACATGTGCCTACCTTGTCTATTAATTCTATGTAGTCATAACATGTAAATTTATATAGGGAATTATGATAAAAATAGTAATCACAACGTGATAAAAATACTTATAAATATAGTAAAAATACTTACAACAGTGGTAAAAATACTCACAAAAATAATAAATCATCCAAAAAAATAATAAATTTTTTAATTATAAAATGATCCATAAAAATTCTAAAAACACTCATTAAAGTGGTAAAAATTAAAGGAGTACAGTACCGAAGTCACCACCTTAATTATTAAAAAGATTTGAACGTGCTGAACTCAAAATTTAGTATGCATGTAAGGGAACATATTGAAATATAAATACTTAAAATTACATCATTTTCAAACATTTAATAAATGATTGTTTAACAGAACAAAATGTGGTCGACGCCCGACCTGACCTGTTATTTAGGAAGGAACTTACTTACCACCGTGACCACCTAGACCAGAACTTGATGACTTACAATTGAAATTTCCAAGCAAATAGTTTAGATGTTTGTTCTTTGATTCGTACTCTTTTCAAAAATCATGTAGTTTAAAAGGACTTCCATCTATTTCTACAACATTAAAAGCTATAAAGCTAAAGCATATTGTTGATTTCCACATCAATAACACAGCAACAGAATGGTCAAAACATGAAAATTATTGAAAGAAAAACAAGAGTAATGAATCATAAATATCGAAAGTTAAAGCAGTTTATTGAGTTTTG